ACTCCAACATTTTATTATTTGCCGACGATGCAAAATTTACAAATCCATTACTTCCCCGATGATATTAATCTTCTTCAAAGTGATTTAACTTCATTTAACGAATGGTGCATTTCAAATAGCCTTTCATTAAATATTGACAAATGCCAAATTGTTACTTACTCCAAAAAGCACAATCCCTTGCATTTTAATTACCATATATGTGACATTGCCTTACATCGTTCGTCATTGTTTAAAGATTTAGGAATTTTATTTGATTCCAAGCTATTATTCAATGCTCATGTATCAGCGATTAAAAATAAAGCTTTAGCTGTATTTGGTATGATAAAAAGAAACTGTTCCGATTTTCATGATCCACTTACTTTCAAGTGCCTATATACCTCACTAATCCGTTCTTTATTAGAATACGCTCCATTAATTTGGGACCACAACAATGTAGGACATAATGATCAACTTGAAAAAGTTCAAAATAAAGCTCTCAGATTTATAGGTCATAAATGTAATATTCAAAGAACTCCTCACTCTGGTTACGAAAATATTTTAAAATTGTTAAACTTAGAACCTTTAAATGTGCGTAGACACTTATCATACAACACCTATCTCACCAAATTGCTAAATAACAAGATTGATGATTCATTTTTATTAAGTAAATTAAATTTCAAAGTCAAAAACCACTACACTCGCAACAATCATTTATTTTATATTCCTCATTCATCTAAAAAGTATACGTCATACGACCCCATAAATATTTTAATGTCTTCGGGAAATAGTGAATTATTTTAATAAACATTGAATGTATTTCTATTATTATTATAATCATTATTAATATTATTATTACTATTATTATTTTTATTATTATTATTATTATTATTATTATTATTATTAATTATTATTACTATTATTCTATATATTAATCGTTTCACCTTTTATTATGTTATATTTTATTATTTTAAATTATATTATATTATTGTTATCTATACAAATATATTGTGAATTGGACTTTTGTCCGTAAAAAAAAAAAAAAAAATACATTATATACATATTATACACAGCCATATGCGACTGTAATAATATAACGGCCTTGTTCGCGCGCGAGCGGGTGAAAGCGCAACGGACGATAAATTCGCAATAGCTGCACACTGCAAATACAATATAGGCGCGCAAACTTTTTACGCCTCCGACTTGCGATTTATAGGTAGAATATACGTCGCGACGATGAAAAATATATTATATTATACTCACTACCGCCACCGAAACCAGATTTATAGACTTCTTCTGTTTGGGTGCCCAGCGAGTATAAATGGCACGGTTTTCGCACTCGATGTTGCCGTGATTTAAAACGTATACAACGTATATATAGGTACGCGTTTTCCAGACTTTTGAACTATCTATTTGACGACGACAGCTGCGAGTACGTACTTACTTACTAATACCACGGTTTATAACAGTGCAGTATACCTATGCCTAATGCCTACCTAACTGCAACCGTATTATAATATAATATATACTGCTGATTGTTATACCTAGGCAACTATGGTATTGGATTTACGTATATTACACTACTCGGCGTAAATGTCCTATGCATAATTTATTTACATTATCGGCCATTATAATAATATGCATCCATCGGGTCGCGAAAAACGATTTATAACTTCTTTTCGGTTGGAATGATATTATAATATCCATAGAAAACGAGATTGCGATGTTTCAAGTATAAATATGTCGTGTAATAAGACTCGTGTGACGCAAACTGAATTCAAAAATATGTAAAGGAGACTGAGAAACATAAGTAACCGAGTTATGGTGTATCCGGTTTTGTGAACACACGCGCATTATATTATACCTATTTTTTTTTATATATATGACAATACTATTATTAGTATTATATTATTATAACTATTAACTATAATATTATGGTACCTATATTATGTATAGTATAGCAAAATATATGAAATTATATTGTTTAAAACTAATTAAAGGCGTCTCGATGGCTTCTTTTTCCGCAGTGTCTTCGTTTTACGCCCTCGCGCTGGGTGCATATTATAATATAATACGAGTCACATTATGTAATATACTCGTCTACGTATATTGTAAGCATGTTACCGGTATATAACGATAATATTAACGACGTGAAACGTGTGAACCGATTCCAGCCGACGATATTGTTATTATTATTATTATTGCATGACGAAGACGCGAGTAGAATATAATAATAATATTATATACGACGTACGCCGGAAAATTAATTCTATTAGGCTCGGCCTCAGTAATGATATGTTCTATGTGGACGAGTATATTATACAATATATAAATTATAAGCTGTTCTGTGTACGGTGCGAGGTAAATGGTAAAACGAGCGTGCGCCCTCGACCCTGGTGTATATACCTGCAGCTACGTGTAATTGCTGTATACATCACTGCGATCGCGTCCTTATTATATTCTGCCCATCGTACCTAGTATAGAGCCAGTACTCTGGGCCAAATGCCTTCCGCAATCCGCGGGGACTTATTGCGCGACGGAGGACCGACCGTCATATTATTATTATCATACATAGTAGGTAGGTAGTGGGGTTTTTATACACATCCCTTGTGCAAACAAACGTGTAAATAAATACATATTATATAGGTACGCTAGCGATTGGACGGGCGCCGCGGAATGACGCTTAAAATACATCTACGTTCGACATTATAATATTCATACCCGTTACACGTGTATTGGCAGACATAAATAACGTTGCACTTCATATTATATATATGCACGATATAATAAAATAATATTTTAAACTTTTGCGATTTCGCGAGTGTCGGATAAGTACATATTGACAGAACGCGGAGCGTGTGACTCGGTGACTTTAACGCGCGGTCGGCGGTGTAGTTGTTAAATATTGAACGTTTATATATAGGTTGGCAAAGGAACTCACCGTTTTAAATTATAGAATACAACTACTGTGGTTTAAAGAAAAAGTTGTAATAATTACTGTAATTTGTGTTAAATTTTTTGATATATATTTATAACAATTTTAAAATCAAATTATTTTGTTGAAATGTCATTAATGTCACTAATGTACCTATACCTATCTATTTTAAATTTTAAATTAGTAGAGCGCCAAATGACATTCAGTTTTGGATCTCAACTAGAGTTTGATGACTGCCTACAATGATTTTATAATTTTCTATTGCCATGGTATATAAAATTAAATATATTTCTGATGTTTTGTGATTATATAATTATATATGACTTAGAAATAATAATATAATAAGGTATGAGCTATTGCCTATTAGTATCAAAATATAATGCATAATATGAAAATCATAAATGTAATGATATAAAAAACCGATAAATGAGAACTAATATTGGGTATCATTTAATAAAACTATAATATTAGTGAGACCCTGCAAATGTGCTTCTCATGGCAATGTATACGGAAATTCACCAATATTTGACATTTTTGTCAAGCAGTAACATTGGAAAAACTACAAAAATTCACATGGCGCTCAACCCGTTAAATGCATTAAACAATATTTTTGTTTTAATTTATATTAATATACTATTTGC